AAATGAGAGGAAATTTGTAACTGTTGACTTCTAGGACAGGCACCAAAGCAAGAGAAGTTGAAATTTATGTGGAAATAAAATTCATTGAATAGCAAATTAAGGTTTTCATCTGTGGGTCTTACATTTCTCTGAGATTTTCAAATGTGCAGAAAAATTTGGAAGAGAAAAGTTATTAAAGACTAATATTTTTCCTCCAATCTAGACAGGAAAAGGCACTTCACCTTAACCAATCAACATCACAATTCTCACCAGAAATTCACCTACGGCGTGCCCCAGTTATAATTCTTAATATCAACAGCAAAAATTCAATACTTATTTAAGGAACACTCTTGGGATAACTCTGACTCCTCAAATTTTGACTGTGAATACGATTCACCATTACTGCCAGTCATATAAACACTGTCAGTTTAATCAATCAATACATAAATATGTACAGCAGAAAGCCACCCACAAGCCTGAGATGACTCAGTGTTCCAAAGATAACTGGTTCTCGGAGGGACAAAGCAACAACAGACACTGGAGATCCACCTAGCAGTGAAATGCCCTTCAAGGGTGACAGTACAATGTTCTAGGGAAATCAGTCCCAGGTACACAGACAGCCAGAGGAACAAAGATGACGCTGATGTCTCTCTGCCTATAGCACCCCGCTCTGTCCTCCCACAGACCTGTAGAACCTACACGAGTATTACATTCAAGTGACCAACGCAGGTGGAAAGACTAGCTGCAAGAATGTTAGGTTACAACCTGGAGACATAGGATTTGAGCTCAGCTCACCCTGCTCCGGGTCTGTTAACCCATGTGCAGTGAAGTCTTCCTCAGTTAATAGATTGTCTAAATCTCCTTCTTTCCCAATTTTGTCCTGGTTTACCAAAGTCCTTCTGAAAGACTGAGTGTGCCTGCTCTGAACATGTTACAATAAGGAAAACTGTTGCTTTCTCTTTGTAATAAAAGGAGGAAAGACCTTGTCTGAGAAAATGGCTAGAGAGGTATCTGGCTCTTTCTTTCCATTATTGAGATTTTGACAAAATGATTATGATGTGTCAATGTTGATCCCTCGCCCATCTAAGCTTTGAAAGTGCATGTAAAACACAAAAGCAAACTTAATTGAGACGATTTTATCACTGTAATTCCGTGCACTTATCCAAACCTACTTGACATAATATCAAAGGGCAAAAGAGCTTAATGAGTCTGTGCACAATCAGGTGAGAAGACATTCCCATCTTATGACTTATGACATCTGGGTAAAGATTATAAAACTTTACACATTAATTCACACTGTAGTCTATTCCCAAACTGAGTTTATATTTTATAGTAGGGGGAATAGAAAAACTATTGTCCAAAGCCATCAGGCAATGTGACAGGTGACACAGACTCCATGTCCTGGAGATGGAAAGACAGACGGAAACAGAACTGTGCTTGAAACTCTGATTTGAGACAGTAAAAGGACATATTCCTTCCAGTATGGAAAGGTGGGTCTCGTATCCCCACACAGAAAATGGAAACAAACCCCATTATCCTACCCGGAGGAGAATGTTAGCCTGTGATGGGCAAAGATCATGTAGGAACATACCATTCCCCCAGCAATGTCACAATGCCTCTGCTGTCCTCTGCACTTCAGTCTTCCTCAAGGAAGGTGCTGATGATCAGTTGACATTCTAGCAAGTGCTATATTTTACATGAATAGTCTGTGACAATCATACCCCAAAGAATCTCTAATAGCTGTGAAGTTGGTAATGCAAACCACTGTCTAGCACATTTCCTAAGCTCTACACATCCTATTAAGCTGGATCATTAAGAAAAGTGACATGAAATTCTTAAAAATCCAATACAAATATTATATATTTTAGTAGGACAACTATATCAAACTTCTGCCCTCCAAGGTTCAGGGATCATTGTGGAAGAGGGGGTGGGAAGATTGTAGAAGCCAGAGTTGTTGAATGACAACAAGAATACAGTTTTTCAGACAGCTGGTCAGTAACTCATATGAACTCACAACAATGGTGACAGTATGCACAAGTCCCACATAAATTTAAACCAGAAAAAAATCCCAGCTTAGACATAAGGAAGTGGGTATGATGCTCCAAGGCCACCTAAGGAAATTGTGGCAACAGATGGCTGCTGGGAGGGGCAGAGACATTCTCTGTCAAGAATGGGACTCTTGTTAGTTTAACCAGGCTCAACTGGATGGACCCACATTGAAAGACATTTGGAGATATTAAAGTACATTAATTGGGTGGGAGGCAATATGGGGAGATATAATTAGGGGAGGGGATCTAAATACCATCAAATTATATTGTGTTAATATTGCAAAAATTCAATTAAAATGAGATTTCTAGTATGAAAAAATGTGTGGAAGGAGATCTGCATACCTAAGAGTGAATAAATTAGTTTAGTATCCATCGACTTTCACGTATCAATAAATTATGCCACAGAGAAAGGCAATAGAATGAACTGGAAATTCAGATGGTATCTCCTAATACCCTCCAAGTTCGGTGCATTCGATCTATGAGTGGAAGACGGTTGGCCATTGAAAACGATAGCCTGTTTAGAAGAAGTACATTGGGGATCAGGGAAGGAAAGGGTGCCTGAGTCTGGTGACGTGAATGGACATTCTCCTCCTGGGATGTCACTTATACTTCATACAAACACTGTGAAATGAGAATAAAAGTACCAAAGATTTAAAAACAAGTTAAAGGAAAAAGATTCAAAGGAAAAAGCTACTTCTGCCTTCTTCAAATCTCCACAGAGTAACTTTCTTCCAAATATTTCCGTATCTGTCTCTATTCGGTGACGACTGATTTGGTGATGATAGTTAGGTTTCTTATTAGTTTTTCAGGATTATTGTAGCTGTGAAACTCAGCATACACACACAAACTTTTAATTCTTTCAACTTTTTTCTTTATTTTGGAGAATTTCATGTATGTATACAATGAAATATGATCACATCAAACCCCATTTTCCTCCTTCTGGTCTGTTTATGTCCCCCTAACACACCCCTCTCCCAACCTAATGTCTTTCGTTGTTTCTGGTACTTCAATAAGTCCAGTTGTGTTACCCACATGAGCATGGGTGTGGAGCCAAGGGAAGCCCACCAGCGGCCACATCCACATAAAGCAACTGTCCCTCCCCCAGTAACTATCTAGGGCCAGTTGCTCCCCAGTAACAGGGAGTCGGGGTGTGGATGGGCTGGAGATTTTCTATCTCACCTATGCAGGAACTTTTGCTGGCTGGACTTGTGCAGGTGCTGTGCGGGTAACCCCTGCTGCTGTGAGCTTCTGACTGTGAAACCATGTCCTGCCCAGATGACAGCACTTTTTAGCACACCTCTCCATCCCTGCTTCTTCCATTCCTTCTGTCTGCCATTCTACACTGTTCTCTGAACTTGGTGCTGGTAGGGTCAATACAGATGTCCCACTCAGTTTCCTACTCTTCATCACTTTGACCAGTTATGCCTCTCCCCAATGACAGCTGTCTACTTCAAAAAGAGACTTCTCAGACAAAAGTTGAGAGAAGCCCTGGTCTATGGGCATAGATGTAAATATTTAGCAGGTGTGGTGATTTAAATGAAAATGTCCTCCATAGGCCCCAAGCATTTGGACATTTTGTCCCCAGTTGGCAGTGTTGTTTTGGGGTTTTTAGGAGGTGAGGCCTTGCTGGAGGAAGTACGTCGCTGGGGGAGGGCTATGAGAGTTCATATGCTTCTCAGGATTTCCTGTCAAGCTCTGCTTCCTGTGCCTGCTTGAAAATGTGATTCTGCAGCATTCTGCTCCAGCCTCTTCCTGCCTCCATGCTTCCCTGGCCACTATGGACACTACCCCTTTGGAACCATAAGCCAAATAAACTCTTCCTTTTAAAGTTTCTTTGTTCATGGTGTCTTCTCACAATAGAAAAGTAACTAATACAGAAGGCAGTTTGATATCATGGCTGTTCTAGTTTGTTTTCAATTGCTGTGACAAAAACACTCTGACCAAAACCAGCTTGGGGAGGAAAGGGTTTATTTGACTTTCATTTCCAGGGTCACGGTTTATCACTGAGGGAGCCCAAGGTAGGAACTCAGGGCAGGAACCTGGAGGATTGGAGGAATGCTGCTTACTAGCTTGGTCCCCTGGCCCAGGCTCAACCTGATTTCTTATATAATACAGAACCACCTGCCCAGGTGGCATCACCAATAGGGGGATCACTGACAGTGGGATGGGCCCTGCCACATCACCCAACAATCAATCAAGAGAATTCTCCACAGACGTGGCCACAGACCAGTTCAATGGAAGCAATTTCCCAATTGAGGCACCGTCAACCCAGGTGTGTCAAGTTCATAACTAAAGCTACCCAGCACAATGACCATTTAGCAAAATAACATACCATGTTGTAACCTAGGACCTATGATCCCCAAAGCCATGGGCTTTTGAACAGGATTACAGTACCAGGCAAGAAACTGTCTCCTATCAGGTTTACAGGATTGCAGTACGAGGCCTCAAATCCAATGAGAAAGCAGTTATCATCCCAAAACAGTTGTCACTAGTGCATCAGTAAGCACACTTTGCCTGGCAGGTTGGTAGTGTGGCATGCAGAGGGTCCAGTGCAGAAGTGCTGGATAAGACAGTTAGCCTGTTTTCTCCGCATGGCACCTTTAGACACAAGGAACACTAGCCAGCAGGGAGGAAGTTTCACAGTTGGTTTGACAATGATTTCTCTATTTTCTACAGCCAAAGTGTGTGCACTTTAGTAGCAGAGTCTGACCAAGTATCTGCAGTGGGTAACCAAATACAATGGCAACAGCCTATGCAGTTTTAGAGACCTCTGAGGCATTTGGAAATGGTTTCTTGTTTTGAAAAACATCTCTCTCCTTAATGTTTTTCAATAATTTTCTTTGATCAGTCCGAAACATCTTGTATAGTGTTCTGACAAACATTATTATAATCTATTAGATTTGTATTCATAGGGCTATATGACCCATGTGCTTAATTACACAATTTCAATTATATTCATAGACTATGGATGTGGTGCCCGCTTCAGCATCACATATACTAATATTAGAACAGTATAGAGAAGATTAGCATGGCCCTTGAACAAGGGTGACGTGCGAATTTGTGAAGCCTTCCATATTTTTTACAAATGCTTGACACAATAGGGCTTGACATGTATGGTGGAACACATAAGGTCTGGTGGGAGCTCTAGGAGACATGGATGGGGCACAGGTGTCTAAATGTGATTAAGAACTGTTGTATGAAATGTACAAAAGCTTAGTAAAAATATTTTAAAAATATGAATTTGACAATTCCAAATGTGACATTTAAAAACATCCCATAATTTCACCCTTTCTAGATGTCAAAGGACCTTCTTGAGTCATTTCTGTCCATCTCTACTTGTCCTGTAAATAATCATGTGTCTCAGATAAATCAATTCTTAGTATGGTAAAGTAGATTCTGGTATTATATCAATGTTAAAAAACATAATAGCATAATAGCCCCAAGATGGAAAAGTAAACCTGAGATTTCCAATGACACAAAACGAAGAGAAGCCATTCCTTGAGGCCCGTTTATGATTAATATTAAAATATCCACAATAAATGACACATCCATAGAATCCTATGCCAACCTTATCAAATCATATAGTCAATTCTATGCTAAGAAACCATCACAATGACAGAATGGCCCTCTTAGCTACTCTGTGGTCCTGTTATGTAATCCCATTCTAAGCTGCACATGTCTTCAACTGTTCACTGAGATCCTATTATGTGAGGGCATTTAGGATAATATGAAGGATGTGTAAAGCCTCCTGCATTTTAGAAATTCTCAGCTTACTAAAGGCAGCAGAGAGTTGATTCTAACAGCATATGAGCAGTAAAGGCCAAGAGCTGTCCTTTGTTATCTGAGGCAGATGAATTTCAGATTCCCCAAGGACACTCAAACCTGAAGATACTCAAATCCCTGGATAAAATGGTACAGTATTTCCATATGCTTATCACACTTCCCCATATCCTTAAATGATCTCTAGGTTACGTGTCCTTCCTACTAGGATGTAATAACTGTTACAATGTATTATTTAAGTGTAATAACATTAAGAACAATGGAAGTCTACACATTCAGCACAGATTTCTTTTTTCTGAGTATTTTCAGTACTGGGTTGGTAGAATCTGCTGATAGAGAAACCACAGATGCAGAGGCTGTGTGTACTCCACAAGCATAGAGAGCAGACTGCACTGGCGTAGGCAAAGGCAGACCCCACAATCAAACTCAGACCAATCTGAGTGGAGATGGTGGGATAGGGGAATATGCTGTTAGAGAAAGGGAGACGGCTGCAGAAACAAGCACTGGTAGAAATGAAGTCTCTGAGGAGCCGAAAAGCATCTCACATGCAGGAAGCTAGAAAAATGTTTGTGACAGAATCTCAGGCAGGAAGGTCAGGATTATCAAATCTTGATGCTAGGAAGACAGGAAATGTGAGGCTAGGCTATCTCTTTCTAACGTGGCAAGGGTTCATTCAGTTCCTAGCACCTGGGTGGCAGTTAACAATCATCCTTAACTCCAGTTCCAGGGATATGACATCCCCTTCTGGCCACTGAGGGCAATGCATACATGTTGTGTACTTACATACATTCAGATAAAACATTCATACACATAAAATCATCTTTAAAAAATTGTAGGCAATAAAATATTTTGCATACTTTCAGACGGTAAACACGGTAAAGCATTGTATAGAACTGTCCAAGGTCAGAAAGGATTCCAACAAGATCACACATGGGGGGAGGAGGTTGGAACGAAAGGATGGCATATAAGAAAAACAGAAAAGAATTCATAGAAGACAATTAGTAGTTTAAGCTTCTGGGGGCAACATGGGGGCTGAGTTCAAGACATTTGATGAGGCAGAGTCTGCTGCAGATTGGGCAGAGGGGTTCAGGATGCACACAGGTAGCATGGATGGAAATGATAGTAGCCAAAGTCATTCATTGTTCCAGACAGCAGGTTTTGAATCCAATCTCTAAGGTGAGTCTGTGGTTCTGCGTTCAGATGGGGATGGTGACTTTAAAACATTCTGCTGTTAGTGAAAGAAGCTAAATAGGATATAAAAATAAAATATTGCTTATTGCTTATCTTCATCTAACATGTGCCCTTGCTGGAGACCAAAAGTGGTCTGCTGATATGTATGTGGTTCACCTGTTTATTTTGGTTTCTGTTTTGCTCATTTTGGGTGGGGCAAAGGAATGGAATAAGTCAGTGGCAATGGCTCACAGAAGTCAATGCTGCATCCCATGGGGCGGATCAACACACAGGGCCCACAGGAAGTCGATGGCCATACTGTGCACATAAAATAATCTAGGAACCTTGTCAGAGACACTTGGTGAGTCTCATGCAAATGATTTACCCCAAGACTAAGAAGTCTCACTTGAGAACTATGACATTAAGATCACAAAAAACTGATCGTCATTGACTGCCCTGGAGAACAGACAGAACTGTTCTCTGGCATTTGATCACTTGGGCATTTTGTTACCGAATTCTTGACACTAGAAAGAGCTAGTCCCTCCCTTCTAGAACCGTTCTGCCCATGCTCCTGAGCCATCCTGCCCAGGATGCTGCCCTAATGCTGCTCCCCAGTCTCCTCTGCTGTTTCCTCCAAGTGGTGGCAACTACCAGGGATCCTACTTGTCCACTCTTCCTCCCTGGGGAGCATCACCTAGCCTGAACTACCAGGCTGGACACATCCTTTGGGATAGCCAAAAGCATCTCAACTGTAACCCACCTAAATCACATCACATGATATTCCTCTGTGCCTGCCAATACGTTCTTCCCATAGATAACCCCTAGTCCTTCTGATCAAACATGCACTCTCTGTCTTGAAAGGGTTCCACCATTAGCTTTCCCCAGATAACCACCCACCCCTAGTTCTGATCAAATATGCACTTGCTGTCTTGATTCCTCTTGTTCTCACACTGCTGCTGTTTAATCCACCACACACTGTGACAACTGTAACAAACAAACCTAAAATTATCCATTTTTTTCTATTGCATCATCCCTAAGTCTGACTACAGTGATTTCCTTACTACCATCCTCCCTCTAACCATGCCCCATTCAACACTTACTTACTTCAAATATCTCTTATAGATGAAAATTAGATATTTTATGCCTTCTAACAACTCGCCATTGTATTTGAGATGAAATTCAGAGCTCTTAACCCCATTCTCAAAACATGATGAGGTTTCGCCCCACTTATCTGTGTTTAACAATATTCCTCTGCCCTTCCGTCTTGACGAGGAAGCAATTCAAAATTCTTTAGATGCTTCTAGTCCTCCGTGCTCCGTTCCTCTTCCCTACCTGTGTGCTTGCCGGCTCCTCCACTGGCAGGTCCTTTCCTTCACCTGTCTGACTCCTTATCATTCAGACATTAGCTCACACGCCACATTCTGAGAGGAACCTTTCCCACCCAACCTAACAAAAAGAGCCTGGGAACACACCTGCCACTATTTCATTCTGGGTAACATGTTTATATTTATCTTTAATGCTTTTCTTTAAGACTGTTAATTGATTAAATGTTTGTCAAACTATTATATAATACTTCTCACAGAAGAGTTCCATTCTGTGCATAAGTAATTTATTCTTGAGCAGGGGAAGTCTGGCTGTCATATAGCACATTTTAATTAAATATGTTCTAAAAGAATGGCTAGTCTGGTAGTTTAGAAGGACACAATGAATCTGACTTTAAAAACTGCTGGCATGGGGCTAGGGAGAGGTTCAGTGGATAAGAGCACTACCTGTTCTTACAGAGGACCCAGGTTCTGTTCCCAGCACTCACAAGGCAGCTAACAACTGTCCATAACTCCAGTTCCAGGGTATCTAACACCCTCTTTTGGCATCCATGAGTAATGCATGACACAGGTACACTTACATATATGCAGGCAAAACACTCATATACATTTAAAAAAAAAAAAAAAAAAACAAGCTGCTGGCAGAACATGAAGGTTTCCAGGTGACAGTGGAAGACTCATCACATTTAGTCCTGGAGGAACATGGGCTTTACTAACCAATCACAGGGTCAAGACAAGTGTGAAGTTCGGGTAAATCATCTTGCCTTTCTGAATGCATCTTTGCACTTCTATAGCACAGGAAGAACATGACCTGTTCTCGCTTCCTAAGGTGATACTGAGAGTGCGTGAGAGGCTTCTGAGCTGCTTCTGGAAACACTATAAACTCCAGGCCAACAGAACTCAGTGGGAGTAGTTAGACCTGGAGTCCTCTGTCTTCAGTAACAGGAAAGTACCATGAAGGACTAGCTGGTCTATCTTTCACTCTATGGACAGGTGACACATGGACTATTGCACTGGGGAAATAGCCATAGACCTCTTCTAGAAGTTCTGCCCATTTGGTAAAACAAACCATTTCATGTTACTTCCATACAACCTTTACTCATTTCACACTCTAAATAACTGACTACAATATCTCCTTGAGACCGATGAGGCCAGGGCACAACAACTAAAATAAATGAGGCCCATCGTCTTGTTTTCCTTCCTCTTTAGTCAAAGGCACCAAAAGTAATTCAGAATGCAGTGCTCGCGGCATGGAACAGTGCATCCCGGTGCTGTGCACAGCTTCCAGACAGCAGAGAAAAGGGCGTCCAAGGTCCTTCCCACAAGGGACAGCAACAGGCTACACAAGATAAAGGAAGAGTGCCTAAGAGAGCTCCATCCTAGCCATCAAGACCCCAGAGACAGAAAGGTGCTCAGCCCAGTCAGCACAAGCTCAGGTTTGCTTCTTACGTCAGAATCTGAGGTGACTGCAGGGGCCAGCAAACATCTGCTGCTGACCAAGCAGGCTTTGGTCTGCAGGATACTGATTTGGACTAAGTACCAAAAGTTGGCTGAAGAGGAGAGCTAGCTAAAAAAGCTGCCAAATATCACATTATGCCACTAATGTAAAATAGAAATACCCCTACTGATTTAGAAAGAATATCCAGAAGTTAGAGCTCTTTTCCTCTCCCCTTCAAATAGGCACTTAAAAACCTACTTTGAAACATAACCGCATTTTCATGTACATTCTTAAATTAAAAGGCTTCAGGAATCAAAATTTTACAATGTCATAAAAATTTTGGCATCTCAGTTTAAAATGCATTGATCAA